GTCTCCTTTGCGCCAGTCAAGCCCTGTCTCCAGACACTCCGTTCCATGCCTCCGCCCCTCCTGGTTTTCTCTTCTCTCCAACTCCCAGTGGGGAGAATTTGGTGCCCCATGGTGTATATTCAGATGTCTTGAGGTTGTTTGGAGTCCTCCCTTACATCCCCCACAGAACAAAAGTAAAAAACCCATTTTGCAAACTTGGCTAAATTCATAAATAACCTCCCTCTTTTTACATTGCTAAGGACGCACTCCTAGAGACTGTTTGCTGTTCGTGCACACAATGACATTCACTTTCCATCCCATCCATCCCTCAGTGGCAGAATGCAGGCATCCGCGCTGTTCCACGTAGCCTTCACAGCAACCCTGTGAGGTAGGCCAGATTGAGAAAGAGCGAGCTTTGGCCTAAAGGTTACCCAGCAGGCTTTGTGGCTGAGTGGACATTTGCACCTGGGTTTCCCTGCTCCTGTTCCAGCCTACGACACAGACACTACGGAACATGCTCTTCAAGCAGGGGCGATGAATTCTCGGATGAGTCCATAATGCCAGAGCTGGGGAGATTTTCCTGGCAAGCACCTGGTCATCTTCCCTTGGTTGCATAGCCAGCAGCGTGGCTTCTAGGTCGAGAGAGGTGTTACCGCCACTCTATACGACTCTGGTGCGCCCATAGCTGGAGTATTGTGCTCAGTTTTGGGCCTCTCATTACAGGAAGGATGTAGCCAGGTTGGAGTCAGTGCAGCGCAGGGCCACAAGGTTGGTGGCCGGTTTGCAGGGGATGCCGTATGAGGCGAGGCTGAGGGAACTGGGTCTCTTCAGCCTGGAAAAGAGGAGACTCCGAGGGGACCTGTTGGCGACATGCAGGTATGTGAGGGGGTGCCACGTGGAGGTGGGGAGAGACCTGTTCTCCCCTGCAGAGGAAGGCAGGACGCGCTCCGACGGAGCAAAACTCAGGGAACCAAGGTTCAATTTGGATGCCAGGAAGCATTTCCTGACAGTCAGGACCCCGAGGGTGTGGAATGGGCTTCCACAGGAGGTGGTTGAGGCCCCATCGGTGTGGGTGTTCAAGGACAGGCTGGACATGCACATGGTGGGCATGTCGTGAGCGGAGACGGCTGGAGCTGGGGGTCAGAATAGATGGCCCGGGAGGTCCCCTCTCACGCGTTCTGTTTCTATGTTTCTAATAAAGCAACTGCAGAGACGCAAGAGGGACAAGGGTGGACGCCTTGGCCAGTGCGCAAGCAGGAATGTGCGGGCTAGAACTCCTTCCCCTGCATTGTTATTAGCGTCTTGCTGTGAACTGCCTAGAGAGCTTTGACTAAATGAGGAAACATTCATTGTACTGGTGCTATTAGGTTATCTAACCAGTTCAAAAGGCTCCCTGTGTGGCTTACAAAGATCAGTTCCTTGCTTCAGGTTAATGTTCTAAATAGATAATGCAAAAGGAAAAGCGACTGGGAGGGAAGAGGAAAAAAGTAAATTCAGGCACAAAATCTTAGTGATAACTATCAAGGGACGCATCCTTGAAAACTCACACCCAAATTTCTCCTTAGACCTCCATGCTCTGATTTATCTGATCTTGTATGTGAATTCAGCATAGGAGGAAGTCTCTATAGTTCTACTTCTGATAGTGCTTGGTTTTTATTCAAGGCATATTCTGATTTTTTTGTGTGCAGGGGAATCTTTTAGTGATGTGCATGGCCTGGAGCAGAACCAGGAGGGAGAGAGATGCAGAAGAACTGGAGAAAGGCAATAGGAATAGGAATAGGAATATGCCCAATCCAATTCTAGAATGAATTTGAAATTTATTTTCAGTTAAGTTGGAATTTGGGGAAAAGTGGAACCACAAGCAGAGTGAACCAGGGGAGCAGAAAAAAGGGACAGAATACAGAAAAAACTGCTGTTAGTATTTAAGGATACATTCTCTTCTCCACTGTCCAGAAAGCAAGCACCATTCATCCTAATGGGATTTAGTTCTGAATTATGTAATTAATTTTATGTTATACTACGTAATATCCAAGCTTTAGGAAGAAGCTGTCTTTCTATATTATATGTCAGTTTCCCATATGTCCATGCATAAGTTCATGACTAAATAAAATTCAGTTACTGCATTGGTCTTTCTTTTATTTATTCATTATATTTATTATACCCTGCTTTTTTTTCCTTCCAAGGATCTTGAAACAGCTTACATCATTCTCCCCGCCCCATCTTAGCCTCACGACAACAGCCCTGTGAGGTAGGCTGGGCTAAAAGTCTGGGACTGGCCCAAAGTCCCTCAGTGAGCTCCATGCCTGAGCAGAGTCTAAAACCCAGATGAGCTGAGTCCCAGTCCTGTGCGCTTAAGTACGGCACTTAAACACGGCTCCCAGGCTCTCTGGGGCTAATTTTTTTAAAAGCAGAAATGTTTGCACATGTTTTGTACACAGTTGTCCCCAGATGTGCATTTTTGTGTGCCTTCCCTTAATATCTGCCTTTGTTTCTGCTCTGGAGAGCGCAAGTTAGGTTGGTACAGACCAAACCGATCACCCTCCATCCATTGCATTACTGCATGAGAGATTATTCCCACTTCCTTTATTAAAAAAGCATCTATAGCTCTTGATTTTGGACAGAGGAAGCATCAAGATGTGATGCTTTGATGCCAGGGACCCCTAGCAAGATCCCCTTGGATCGTGCCAAAGTTTTCTGCTGCCTTTGTCATTCTTTGGCTTCTTTGTCTTGCAAACCCTGTAATCTTGCTCACAGATGGATAAAACTCTGGTCTCCACTGGAGAAGTTTCTCTGATTGACTCTCTCTGGGCTCCAAAGGCCCGTGCACGTCCCCATTTGGGAGCAGAGTAGATCTATATATTCACTCTGGCCCCCTAATTGGAAAAGATGGGAGAATTTATAATGACCTGCAGTAATCTCTTGCAAATGTTAACATCTCCTTTGCTCTCATTTGAATTCACCTACTTTTTAAAGCACTTACAAATATGCCAGGCTGATAGTACCCCCCCAAAAAAAGGGGGGGGCAAAAGAACATGTGAAACGAGGCTGTTTTCTGTTCCAGTGTAATGGCGGAGAAATTGTATCGATTAAACTTAATGCATTGCAGACTTGAAACTAAAAATTGGGAAAGCTGTGCTCAAACTCTTAAAGAGGGAATCTTCTTTTTTATAAACTCTGCGGCCGAAAGAAAAATAAATTATTTAATTTCCAGCATGCACAAAATAGATCTGGTAAGATGTTGCTTTTCTTGCAAAGAATTTAGATCCTGATCTTCATTCTGGAAATACTTAAAGTGTTTCAGAGCAATGTAAAGCTCTGTAAGTCGGTTCCACGGAAGATTAAATACACTTGGAAGTCTGTTCCACGGAAGATTAAATCCCAGCCAAACTTTCTGAGAGTTGCCGTCTTAAATACACTTCCTTTGCACTAAGTCCCACTGGACGAAGTGGGACTGTCATGAAACGTGCTCAGTATTGCATTTTTAAAGCACTATGAATATGTTTAATGTCATCACATTATTATTTGAATTCAGGAATGGTATTTCTCCCATGGAGCTTTTGTCTCCCAAGAGCAAATGGAATGGATTGTGGGCTTCTCCCAAATATTATATTCCTTTTGAAAACCAGAATTCCTCTCCTGGGAAAAATGGAAAAAAACAAACCTTCCCTCATGCTGGGACATTTAGGAGATATTGAGCTTTATTTTTTCCATATTTTCTTTCATTTTCCCCAAGCCCTCCTGTCTCTGGGTAGGTTAATACTCATGGTGAGCTGGTTTGGGAACAGTCTATTGTGGAAACAGAGGTCTAAATAAACCGCATTCGGCCTCAGGCCCCTGATGCTGGCGTTAGTGTCACTAAAGATTAGTTCACCTTCCAAAGGATCATTGAAACAGCAGAGTTTTACCACGTGACAAAGCCTTGTTGCCCATGTGCCACATCCCTCCTTCCCAGGTTGGCCTTCAGAGACAGAAATTTCTGGAATGTGTCAGCGCCACCCCTCTTTTCTGCCCCGTGTCTGCCTTAATCTGCATTTTTTTTCTTCATTCTAAAAAAGCAGGGGAATTCACACTTAATTACGACCATGCATAGCATCCACAATTTGGCTATGACATTTCAAGACACATTTCTGGGTGTGCTTTTGAGCCAAGAAGTGCTTTGCAAAATTGGAAAGATGCAGTCGTGGTGAGAATGTGCTCCATTCGAGCAGGAAGTGTAGATTATCTTAGCTCACTTTGGCCTGCAGGAGAAATCAAATCCGGCAACTGGCTTGTGGTACCGGGATCCCATCCAGCCGAGACTGTGGGGGAAGCTTGTCAGTGGAAGCTGTGTGAGAAAACCCACTTCACGGGAAGCTCCTCCGAACTGGAACCTTTCTGAAGTTTTATGCAATAGCTCCAGAATGCCTGAGCATTCGCCATGTTGGATAGGTTGGCTACGGATGGAAGGCCAAAACATGTGGTGAGCACAGGTGGAGAAGTCTGAGGCTCCAGGGAGCCTCACCTGGGTCCCTGGCGACTCCTTTGACCCCGTCCCGAGCCCCACCTGGATGCCTGATTCTTCACCCACACCTGTCCCCCAGGTCTTGAGAGAGAAGGTTGCAGCAGCCTGGATGAAGCAGCTCAGAGTTGCTCCTGGCCTTGCCCACAGCTCCCCTCATCCCCTCCATGGGGCACGCTGGCTAACACGGATGGGAGTCGTAGGCCAACGCATCTGGAAACCCCCAAGGTGTGCAGGGGCCTGTGCAAGAATACGATGGCCTTCGGCACAGCAGGACCTGGCAGCGAACGCCCTTTGGACCTCCGCTGAATCAATGCCTCCCTTTGGGCTTGTTAAGCCCCGTTCCTTCGCTCTAGCCCACTTCTGCCAGCTGCGCAGCTGTTGAAAATGAGCCTGGCATAGAGGGGGACATGCTTTGTGCGAAGGGATTCGACCCTGGAAAGGTGCTGGAATCTCCCTGCTTGAGTGTACAGATTTCTCCGGCTTGGTTTCTCCTGCATCAGCCCCCCCGCCCCCCACCCGCAAATATATCGATCTATTTCTGTCTTGAATTTGCATGCCGTCCTCGCACAGAGGCCATGCTAATCTTTTCTGTCTCGTTCCAATTTTCGTATATGTGCTGCCGAAGCGAGCACAGTCTTTGCTATGGAGAGAGATGTAATGTTTGCTATATTCTTACCAAAATGCAAGTGAAATGGAATTCTCATGCATCCTTTGGGCAGGGTTCTTCACATATCCGGAAGCATGACGTGGACAAGCCCTGGACCCCACCACTTAGCCACCTGCTTAAAGCGCGTTTACTGATGCATGTTTTCCGTGCTGTCATGTAACATTCTGCCGTGTCAAGTCAAGGGAGAAGGTGTTGCCAGTCTAGTCCGCTTGGGAGATCAAGGTGGAAGCATGCCGAACAAAGGCCTGGACACAGAGTTTGGTGCAACGTGCGCAAAGAGTTCTCTGTTTTTAATGAACACAACTTTTAATTTCCTCAAGACTGGAGACCATATGTGCCTGGCTGAGATAAGAGAACAAAGCGAGAGGGAGGGAGAAGTTTTGTTTTTACTGTTTGTTTAATGGATGAAGAAACTTTTCCTTAGACCTCCTAAAAAATAAAAATGCATCAATGACTTTGTTCAGACATGGACGGACCCACGGCAGTGAGGGGCTCTGAGCTGGACAGGTGGAGTCAAGTGGACGATGGACCTGCTGCATTGCCAATGCCTCATAATGGTGGTTATTTGGTAGCCTTCTGAAATGATGTTTTGTAGGCTTCAGCTCACACCCAAGAGTGACTGAGCCAGCAAGAAAAAAAGGATGGTCAACCACAATTAGTGCTTCTCCATAATTAGGATGTCCATGTCTCCTAGGATACAGTTTTCCTTGAGAAAGTGCCCCCTATTTGAAGGGCTGGCTGGGCCAAGTCTAGGGGCTTCTTTAATGCTCCTTTTTGTCAAGTGCGATGGAAGGATAAACAAGCTCCCCAGGATCATGTCGAAAACTCACCTCTGGCTTTGTGGCCCGCAAATCTCACTCATTCTTTCGCTGTCGGGAGCCCGGCTTTTCCTTTCTCGCCGGAGGCTCCGAGACACCAGACTGTCCTTCACAAAGTAGCCCTCTCTTGGCCCTTCACTGCTCGCAAGGTGCTGCCAACTCCAAGAGCCTTCCAACCGGCTGAACAGAAGCCTCTGCTCATGTAAAGAGCGAGTGTGGACCTCAAACTGGAAACTCCACCCCCCTCCCCCAGTCCTTCATCCTCCTGGGAGAAAACCACCCAGCAAGACCCACCCCAGCCCTCTACCAGGGAAGCTCTCCTCTCACGATGCCTCGTCATGGGCTCAGGGGCCAGAGGAGGTGACGGCTCTCCCTCTTCTCCCGGGTCCCTTCTGCCTCTTCCAGGTCATGTCTGCTCTCTTGGACCCAGGAAACCGCGGGCAACACCCTTGAAGGGGCCCAGAGGCTCACACAGCCCCCTTGGATCCTCCTGCCCTCCCGTCGCCTCTCCTGCAGCATCTCCCCTTCAGAATCTGATCACCAAGAGCGACTCCCTGCCCAGCTCGCAACAGCTGCCTTGCTCTGTCTACAATGCTCACCACTTAACATCGCTGCGCTTCTGGATGAAAAGGGAGTGGGTGCTGGAGAGGACAGGGAGAGAAAAGATGTGGGGGGGAGATGACAGTGGGGGACAGTTGCCCTTTCTGTTCCTGAAAGGTTTCCTCCCGAGCAAATGCCTGCTGTCACAATTTAGGGACTGCGGGGACCTGAGGATTTGCAAGAGCAGTGATAAGAGGAAGCGGGTGTTTGTGGCTCTGCCCGGGTTGCCGCTCGGCAGGGCCTGCTTGACATTTCAGGTGTTATTTGCACAGCGTTGCCCAAAAGGGCATAACAAGAGAGAGGCGCCCGTGCCAAGCTGGGTGGCGCCTGCCGGTTTTGCTGGATGGAGGAGTGCGCAAGGCCAGAGGTGTGTGAGGGCCATACCAGCAGGCACGCACAAAAGGCAGTGTGAGTTTTTGTTTGATGGTCACATGGCAGGCGGTCCTACCCCCCCCCCCCGGGACTTGCACCGAGTAGCAGAGGAGTCTGCTAAGGGCAAAGCACAGTTCTCTTCCCCAAGAGAAGAGCAGGACACTCAGTGTGTTTTCAGGGCATTCCTGGCCGGGGAACACTGCCCGGTGTCTTGCTGCAGCCCTCTAGCAGAACCTCCATCTTCCAGCCTCACAGATGTCCCAAGCTGCAGAGCTTGTCCTAGAAGTCCAGCCGGCCCTTCCAGGTGGACAGAGCAAACCACGCTGTAGTCACGACAGCCGGCACGAAGCTTCGGCCGCCCAGGTCCTCGCTGAGACAACAGGCTCCCGTGGGCCTTGGAGGAGAGTGCTCCATCCGCAGGGCCCACTCGGAGCTGTCCACGGTGCTGCTTTCAGGTCGCCTTGCTCGTGCTGCTTCTCCACGAGCCTCAGTGGAGCCTAGAATGGGCACAGGCTACACGTGGCCTGGTGCAGAACTGGAGGACGACAGCGCCCTCGTGTCGCTTCCAGCGTCTTCATGGAGACGGTTGCTGACGGTTGCCGGCAGGGAGCCGCCTCCTTTCCCGGCCTCGCCACGGAGGCTGCAGGTGTTGGTGTCTTGGAGTTGCACCCGTTCCTTTCAAAATCAGCCTTGGAAGCTACAGCAGCAGCCTGAGTGAGAACGCTCTTGGGAGGGGTCAGGCCAGGGGCCGGGGGGCCAAATGCAACCACTGAGAAGTGGGGTTGCCGTGCTGTCCAGCAGGCGGAGAGTCCCTTTCCAGGGGGAATACTGAAAAAGAAGCCTGCCGGCCACAGGGCATGATCGCCTTGCCGGTCCGTCTGTGCCAGTCACCTGCAGCCCAGTTTCCAAGGCTTCTGGAAGCAGCTCAGGTGTGTGGCCAGACCGCTTGTCCAGTGAGAGAGGGAGCGGGAGAAAGTATCTGAAAGAGCAGGAGACGCAGAGTGTGGAGAAGAGAAGGATTAGGGAGGGGGTGCCATAGCAAGAGAAAGAGAATGTGAAACCAGAAAAAAATAGGAAAGGGCTGGGCCCCCACCAACCTTGCCTGCCGCCACACTCACGTGATTTGTATGCTGCTTTTCCACGCAAACCCATGCTCAAAGCAGTTCACAAGCAACATCCAGAAAGATCATGAAGTGCAGCCACTTTTGCAAAGAGTGAGCAGCTGCGAGGCGCTGGGAAATCTAAAGGCTCCCACCAACAGGCCGAGGACCACACGGCCAGCTTGCACCAGAATTTGAGGCTCCGCCCATGGCCAAAGGGGATTGCGGAGCACATGCAGCAGGAACGAAACTAGCTTGTCTCGGCTCGATTGAAAGGTTGCCCCGGGCTCCTTCAGCTATGGGGCAGCCTTCTTCACTGAGTCCTTTGGGGCCTCTCTGCCCCCTGCCTCGGCCAGAGGGAAGCCAGGCAGGAGGAGGAGGGCTGGGTCCCACACTTGGGTGGCCTCTCTGCCCTGGAACTGGCTCCTGCCACCGATCACCCTCATGGGAATATGGTCCCGAGAGGTCAACCACAGAGCTGCTGCCCCTACTCTGGCCAGTCAGGTCAGATTCTTGCCCCTCAGAAGTCCTCACAACAACCCTGAAAGGTAGGCTCGCGTGCTAGCTTAGAGTCAGATGAAATGGCAGCGTCGGTGCTTTTTGCTCTGGTGCCGATCCTGCCAAGTGAGGATTTCTCGATGCCTTGCCTTCTGCCAAGGTGCTTTTGAACGGTCAGGCGCTTGGCTGAACCCGGGGCCTCAGGCGGTGAAGGCCTGTGGCAGTCAGCTGTGGAAGTCCCCGGGCAGTGCAGCTGCTCGCTCGCTCGCTCTCTCCGGGGTCAGGCCTTCGGAGCGCCCCCTCCTGGGACGGCACCCACAAGCCCTTGATTTGGCCGGCGTGCCGAGTTCTCCACGCGCTCTGCGCTTGCCTTGTCCCGGGTCCTTATTTGTGTATTTAACGGTAGCTCGTGCGTCAGGTAATTACATAAACTCTCCCCAAGCGGTTCCGTGTGCCACGTTTTATTCTGTAAAGGAAATTGCACCCGTCTTCTGGAGAGAACGCCAAGATATCCCTCCCATCACCACCCCTTTCCCTGCGCCGTCTCAAACTGGGGAAGGGGTGGGGAGCTATTTTGAGCCTCTTCATCAGTTGTGAGTCTCCCTCCCACCAGAGATTAAACTGTCGCTGCTCTTAACAAGATGTACGTTAGTTTCCTTGCCAAAAGCAGGAACCCCAAACATGGTGGAGCTGCAACGAGCAGGCTGCAATGCACTGGGATAAACCACAGTTCTAATGCGTTTCTCTGAGATCTTCTGGTGCATGACCTAATTAGATTTCTGGTTTGCTCCTTTCCATGGGAGATTATATAGCGCCAAATCAAATACATCATCCAGCCACTGTTTCTTTCTCTTTGCAACAAAACTGCTGTCAGCCTGACTCCTCCTCGAGATAGAAACATAGAAACAGAGGGAGTCAGAAGGGGTCTCCCAGGCCATCTAGTCTGACCCCCGGCTCCAGCCAGCTCCACTCAGACATGCTCACCATGTGCATGTCGAGCCTATCTTTGAACACCTCATATCTTTGAGATGCAGTCATGGGCACGGTTCAGCATTCAGTACCATGGGCCAGGGTCTTTCGGATCTGCATTTTGCATTGTTGCAGGATTCAGGCCACAAAGTCTTCTGTTAAAGGTGCTAGTCCACAGGATTTCAAATATCCAACTTCCAGCTTCTTCAGAGAAGTGCTTCTATATTGTTGTCCATTGATGTTTCAGGGTATTTTACCTGCAGTGACAAGATAAAGGCTGAGGTAACATTTGCATTGCTTTCAAAATAGGTTCCGCACCTGAATTTCTCCCTCGATTTGACAGTACTGCTTGCCTAGTTTTGTTTCTATAGATGTTGTACAGAGATTTTGGGGGTGTAGCGAGTCTTGGTGCACCCCTGTTCACTGTTATTAAAAGTGTAACCCAAATCAAGCATTGTCATGAGATCACCCATGTGAACACCCAACTTGAGACAGATTATATTGAATTAAAGAGTAGTATTTCTATAATTATGCACTGAACTGGGGGAACAGGTCTCTCTGTAGTGTTGGTGTGATGGGGCCCAGGGACATGGGCTACACTCCCAGAC